TAATTGTGTCATGACTCAATTATTTATATGTTTTAATAGTGACTCAATTAATTGTGTCAAATAATTGTATCAATTGTGTCAAGGATCTACGAATTTCAGTAACATGTATAGTCGTGACTGTAGAGGTGATCTGCTGGTTTTGATTCTATTAAAAGTTTAGAATCTTAATTTCATTCTTTAGGGAAACAACATATCACTTCTATAAATTGTATTTAGAGACTTTGGCTGTCGACAAGTGAGTTGGATCAAGAAAATTTATACTTTGCAAGCATTTTTAACTTGTAATGGTTCTTTAGAATTTAATAAATAATTAATATCAATCTGATTGCAGGATTAAAAAAAAAATAAATATTTTTATAATTAAAATCAATAAGTTAATAATTGTTGTTTCTTATATTATAAATAATAATTTATATAAGTTTGATTTAAAAATTGTTTGTTTATTTTTATTTATAATAATTAATAACTTTTGTTTTCATTTTATTTAATTTATTAAAAAGATATTAATAGTAATATATTGTAATTTACAAATCATATTATATAATTGTATTAGAATTTTAATTGATATTTTATCTAATTATTAAAGTTTAATATAAAAAAAACATTTTTAATAATGTTATAGACTAGTTTAATACTTGTTATAAATGAGTTATTGATTTTAGAATAGAGAATAAAATTAATTTATTTAATGACTTAAATAATTTTTTCTGTTGTTTTTAGATATTTAAAAATATATTAAATAGATATGGAGTTTGTATTAATAACAGTATATATTTGAATATTATTTAAGATTTTTTAAATAATATTAAATAGAGTTAATAATTAATATTATATAAAATATTATATATATAATATATTTAAAATAAATATTTCTTTAATAATAATAAAATAATTAAAAATTGATATTGTTTTTGATTAACAAAAAGATATAAAATTATAATTTTTATATATTGAAGTTATATTTGAAAAAATATTTAATTATTTTATTAAAGATTTTATAAAGTATTGATTATATAAATAATAAAAAAACAATAATTACTTTATATAAAGTTTAAAATAATAATATTATTATTATTATCATATTAATATATTAATATATTGAAACAAAGCTTTTAATTAAAAAAAAACAAATTGATAAATCTTGTTTTCTTAAAAAAAAATTATATAAAAAAAGACTTATAATAATTACTTCTTATTAAATTTTTTTGAAATTTTCTCATTTTTTTTTAATTAATTATTTTTTAAAAAACTTTATTATATATACAGTATATTTTTTCAGTTTGCTTTTTTTAATTAATTGATATTTTGATTTCAATATCATATTTATTACAACAATAAAACATATTCATCATATTAATTAAAAATTTATCAAAACAAATTTATCATATTATCTGATCTATCTAAACAATATTCTTAAAATAAATAATTAATAAGACTTGATAATAACATTATTAATTTATAATACATAATTGTAAAAAATATTTTATTCGATTATAAATGAGTAATATATTACTTTTATAAATTGTATCTAGATACTTGTGTTGTTAATAGATGAATTTATTACTTATATATTGTAATAAGTAAAAATAATGTAAATTGATAATTTATCCGAATTTACGTGTAACATAAAAACAAGATATTTCGGAGAATCGAATCACACCAGTCCGATAATTAAACCTTGACATTATGAGAACTCTTTAGTTTCGTCAATAAAAACAAATCTGTTGAGTTTGACAATCATAAATTCCGTACCAAATGACGTTTTACTCGGAGGTTGGCAAAGATTTTAAGCAACTTTACGAGAATAGAGAGAATGGTGATGTGATAGTTTATGCTGGCGAGGAGCTTAAAGAGCTTCGCGCTCATTCTCAAGTTTTACTTACTTATTCTTCTTATTTTCGTGGAATGCATTCATACGAAGAGTCAAAGAATCGAGATGGATATTTTATTCTTAAAAAGTCTAACATCTCCGCTTCGACGTTCGAAGTGATTCTTAAGTATGGTAATCATTTATTGTACAGTAAATGCTAATTCTAAAGGAACTAAAATTTGTTGCGTATATAGGCTTGCCTATCGCGAACCTATAGATCTTCACGAACTAGATAATGCGGTGGTTCTTAAAGTTTTGCTCGCTGTAGATGAACTAGGATTTCACAAACTTATTAACTACATCGAAAAATGTACAATTAAAAATATTGATGATTTTTTAAGAGAGGATCCTGAGAAAATGTTACAAATTGTAGCCAGCCATGAGACGTTCGAGGATTTTAAAGAAATTTGCGTGGGAGCCATCCTTACCGAGCCGAGCATCTTATTCGGCACAGGAAGGTTTTTAACATTAGAAGAGAGTACATGGATGTTTATTCTTGAATCTGACGAATTTATAATAGATGAAATTGAAATTTGGGATTATGTGATTAAATGGGGAATCGCTCAAGGTCCTAAACTCAAAAGCAATGTTAAAGACTTTGAGGATCAAGATTTTGAAGCTTTGGAGAAAAGATTGCGTAATTTCATTCCCTTGATTCGATTTCATGAAATTTCCATGGCGAATTTTTACATCAGTATCTGGCCATTCAAGAAGATTCTCTCTGAAGAGCTTGTAGATAATATGCTTCATTATTATATGGTTCCTGAGGCCAGGCCACGTTTTAACGTATATCCTCCAAGGATTTCTTCCATATTAATAAAGAAAGAACATATTATTTTCTTTGCAAACTGGATAGATGATACCGATGATTATGAGAGAATTGATCAAGTTCCATACAGTTTACGACTCCTTTACAGAGCTAGCCGGGATGGGAATAAAGCCATCAAGTTTCACCAAAAATGTGATAAGAAAGGGGCTACTATAGTGGTGGCCAAGATTGAAGGTTCCGAAACGCTAGTAGGCGGATATAATTCATTATATTGGGATTCTAGTGGTGGATATGAAAATTTAGATAATAGCTTTATATTTTTAATTAAAGATCGTAATAATAGTGATGGAGGTTTTACATTGGGACGACTCCCTAACTTATCCATCAAAAGCAATAATGGTGCAATCTATAATAATAGTTCATATGGTCCTACGTTTGGAAAGGGTCATGATTTATGCTGTCATTTCAAAAGTTGGTCTAGTAATCAAGGATATAACACTGGTAGCTACGCAGAGATAAATCTTCCGAGTGAATTTAAAGTATTTGACTGGGAAGTTTTTAAAGTGTTGAAGAAAAGTTAATGCGGCAATTACAGTACAATATGAAAATTGTAATTTTCTATTTTGAATTGAATAATAAATATGTTCTTGTATTACAGAATGTGCAAGTTTGAATTCCTTAATTTTTTGATTACGTATATTGCTCTAGTACTGAATAATAAGAGGCGGTCTGTGTATTCACATGCCATTAACAATGTAATTAAATAGCTAAAGCATCGAATAAGCAAAAAAACAATAAAAAGAATTTTTTTATTTAATTATTGGTGTCAAGCGCGAGAAGCTTTAAAACCCAAGAGTCGGTTATAAGTTTAAAAGTCATAAATTTACACCGAGATCAACGATCTATTTCTTCAAAGTATCAATTACGCACATACAGTAGTTTCAGTCGAGATATTGCATGCGCTTTAATTTCGTTGAATCTTATATTCGTATGAAAAGAATGTTTTAACCTTTACAAGTTGTTCATACGTCACATTTCATATGAATGAAAATCATTTAAAAGTGGACAGACAGACAAACAAACTAGTATGCAACGCGCTACTTAAGTACATATCCGCCTCCTGATCGCAAAGGGATAAAAATAGCGCCCGACTTCTTCCAATAGTCGTTCTCTTGCTATCACACAGGAATTCAAACTTGATATGCAGCATGACATTCTCACGTAATTTACACGTATCGATGATCGTCTCTCCTCCTTTGGAAGATACCTGAAAGGAGATTTTTTAATAAAGAAAATTACTATGAGAGGAGCAAGTTCTACATACTAAAATCCTCGGAGGTGGCTGTATTTAAGCAAAGGTTCTTTGTAAATCCGAATGTGGCATATTCCTATACGATAGTCAATCAGAAAACCTGAATTCATGAAATTCACGGCATTTATTCCTTCATCATACATGTAACTGGAACTTTATATTCTTGAGTTGGCTGTGCGGTTATGG